GGTAGGGTAGACAGAGCAAATGTTTGGTGGTTGCAGCCCTGTTCCACCCCTTTATGTTAATGTTTCATATATGCAAATACACCAGCCATACCTATGCAAATGAGGCACATATACTTTTCTTTATTTTAACACAAATGTTTTTTTAAATACCTTATACAATAAGAAAATGTATAGTGCATTCTAAGAAAAAAAGTGAAATTTGACTAATTTATTACCTGAATTCCCACCAAAATCCCAGAACTCCATTCATTATTTGTCTGTGCCACGGAAATGTTGTATGTGCTATAATTCAGTCAATATCTGATGGATTATACAAATTCTAAAAGTTTGGAGTATCTTCATCCATTGTCCAACTGTTGTATTTATTATAATTGTTTTTAAAAACCTTTTAACAATTTATATGACCGTTGCTACTGTCCTGATTGGAATTGTTGCTTCACAATTATGTTTTGAGCTCTGTTGTGAATCTATGACGAATACTCTCCATACTTCAACTTTTAGCTGTCTATTTTTATTCAACTTAGATATATACTCTTCAACCTATCCCTGGTAGCACTGGGCAGGCATTGTGAATAAAACCAAGTTATTGTTTCCTGTACGACGACTGTGCCAAGGAAGCACATCTGCTGTATGAGACAGCCTCCAACTCTCAATTCATTATTAATACTGAATCTCATCTGTGTCAAGTCACAGGAAATGTAATTACTTTGTAATGCCCACAAGTCGTAATTTGCTAAAGTGCCATCACGAAAATAAAGTCATTCAAACATGTGGCCATGCAGCCAAGAATAAAAAGCAATACAAAACAGCCTCTTATGACAATGACAGAGAGAGTAGACAGATGGAGGATGCATAGCCAACCGTGCTCTTGGGAACTCACCCACTCGCTATAATCTTGGCAACTAGCAATACTAATATCAAAGAGGCTACAGCATTAAGCAGTCATAGTCAGTGTTGGTAGCTACCTCAGGGTATTTGTGTTTGAATGGAAACTAGCTTGGGGAAATGGCTATTCTCTGGCCCCAGAGCTCCTCTCAGCTGCTATGGGATAGTAGCCGTATAGTGTACAAGCTTCGTAGTGACAGTTCTCCTTGACTGTCACATAAGTCACTTCCAATACTAGACTTGATGTCATTATACAATCTTCATTTGTCCTGTGCAGGAGTCATGACAATTGACTTGTCTGGAAAACATGCATTTGAATAATTGGGATAAGACATATGAATTCAAGTCTGGAAAACATGTATTTGAATAATTGGGATAAGACTTATGATTTCAAGCCTGAAGCATTCCCAGTCTGGCATTATCCAAAATGATGAGAGATCATATAAATACAGACAATGTTCCTATTGTTAAGATACATTCATTCATATTATGGTGAATTATTAATAAGCCTATGGGCTACAAGCTTCAAGTCTGCAATACAGCTCAATGGTAAGTACAAATCCTGCTTTTGGAATGGCACACTCTTGATTTCTTTTTCTTGGTGCCATCTAGTGAGCATGGTTGAGAATTACAGAGATTTTACCAATGTATTAGTAGAAGTACTGGATCAGAACAGGTGGTGTAGCTGTGGTTCCACTGTATGCAGGCTGGGGAGAGTTGACCTCTTGGTATCAGCATAAGTATACTGAACCAAAATATAAATGCAACATGTAAAGGGTTGGTCCCATTTTTCATGAGCTGAAATAAAAGATCCCAGAAATTTTCCATACGCACAAAAAGCTTATTTATCTCAAATTTGTGTATACATTTGTCTATATCCCTTTAAGTGAGCATTTCTCCTTTGCCAAGATAATCCATCCACCTGACAGGTGTGGCATATCAAGAAGCTGATTAAACAGCGTGATCATTACACTGGTGTTGGGGACAATAAAAGGCCCCTCTAAAATGCCACTGATGTCTCAAGTTTTGAGGGAGCGTGCAATTGTCATGCTGACTGCAGGAATGTCCAACAGAGCTGTTTTAGAGAATTTGGAAGTACATCCAACGGGCCTCACAACCGCAGACCACGTGTACCACGCCAGCCCAGGACCTCCACATCCGGCTTCCTCACCTGCGGGATCGTCTGAGGAGGGGGAGGGGGTGCTGAGGAGTATTTCTGTCTGTAATAAAGCCCTTTTGTGGGGAAAAACTCATTCTGATTGGCTAGGCTTGGCTCCCCAGTGGGTGGACCTGGCTCCCAAGTGGGTGGCCTATGCCCTCCCAGGCCCACCGATGGCTGCGCCCCCCTGCCCAGTCATGTTAGAAATCCATAGATTAGGGCCTAATTTATTTATTTCAATTGACTGATTTCCTTCTATTAACTGTAACTCAGTGTATATTTCTACATTCAGCAATATACATTTTATGATGTCTAGTTTTTCAGTTTAGAGAGAGTGTAAATCTAAGAATAAAAGTGTTTGATTTATACACCTTACTCAAGACAGTATTTTGAATCAGTTCCTATTGGGCAAAACATCATTTGACGGCATCACAATCAAAACAAGCCGTAAAAACAAGTTTGTAGAGTCACAAGCTTGATTGACGTAGTCATTGCGTGCTCGGAATATGGGACCAAATACCACATTTTTGACTACTTTAACCCTCTACTGCACATCGTTGCCCACAGGCAACAGAAAACCTGTTTACCCCTCACACACCCCAATATTACTTTTGTAAAAATCCTACACATAACAATATGTGATGACATGTCTGTAAACAATCCAATGAGGTGCAGAAGTTGGTATGATGTATCAATTAAGGGATGGGACCTTATTTTAGGAAGCAACATAAGCGCATGGTGTGAGTGAAGGGTAAGATACATTGCTCTAAAGAAGCATATTTGATTTAATAGATATTCACAAAATGTAGTTTTCTTTTCGTTGGCTCAGGGCAACGTTGTTCAGTTAGGCTACTTTTCAGGGCAATATCATTCTCAATGATAGACATGTAATTTGATGTAAAATGATGGCCTTGGTCAATATCTTTGCCAAAATATCCACTGACATACACAGGCAATGGAGCAGTTAGGATCATACCCTCTGATAGTGAGGACAGTGCGCTTGAGGACAGTGACAGCGAGGAGGAATCAGGTTTGAGAGGCAGTGAAATGCTAGTTTATGCCCCCAACTTGTATTTTCTTATGAAAAGAGTGCTTGTTTCTATTATATTTCACTTAATAAATGTTCCGAAAAGATCTGATTTTCCTTGGTGCTTTAGTAACCTTATGGCACAGCGTTACCCTGAGGCAAAACACTTTTTTTCTGGGTGTGGGGGTAAAAGTGACCATTTTTATTATTGATACATTATCAGTGTGATGAGGCAGCCTTAGTCTAACCTTGTCACCATTTTAAAATGTATTTTTAATGAAGTTATTAGTATCTAAAATACTTAAAGGTACAGTATATACATGTGTGGTTTGGATAAAGTGCACTAGTCCATTGCCATGCATATCTATCTACCAGTTTAGATGTTCCTGACCTTAATTGTTTGATACCGTGTTGGTTGCTCAGGTTTAAGCCAGGTGTGGTGAGTTAGATAACTAGCGTGTAGTTCAGCCATGCTTTCAGTCTCCCTGAGTAGTAGTTCTAATCATGTTCTATTTGTCTTTTAAACTAAAGTGTTCATGACTAAATATGGTAATTTAAACAAATGAATGCAATTAACTTAAATAATGTTTTCCATAGTGTTACCTGGTCTAATAAACAAAGTAAAGTTATTCTAATTAAATGCTCATTCTCATTGGTTAATATGTGTGGGCGGGTTCGAGGAGAAAAGGGATAAATGCTGTGCTTTTCTCTCAGCTCAGGTTGAACACCATTTTACAATGTGCTCCATAGCAGTTTGTTTGTTGTGTCCCGTATGTACAGGCAGTTGATTTTGGCTATTCTGGTACTCTCTTTAGTCCCAGTAAGGAGAGCGTTAGGTTCTGTTTAGAGCTGTAAAAGGGGTCATTTCTAGTTATGCTGTTTAGCATTTAGGCCTAGTCTTAACTGCAGCAGGAACCCTATTGAGGGGTTGAGCTTTAGACTCGCTGTCATTTTTGTCCGTTTTCGTATCCTGAATGTTTCTGCTAAGGACAACTGTTTTCGAGACAAGCCATGTATCCTGAAACCCTGCATCTGTAATAAATTCAAATATTGTTTTTGTACAATCATGGGTCCTCCTCATTCCCACCTATCACCTCCCTTGGCTACTCTGGGTCTACAATCAGAAAGACTAAATCTTCCAAAAAATACGATGGAATAGTTTTTTCCATGAAAAAACAGAATGTGTGCATTAGAGGTTAAGTGAATTTGGCCAAATACTTATGACTTCTTCAAATGGGGGGGCTAGATACATAAAGTGCTTTCATTTCTAAACAGTAAAACAGATATCGATCAAAATTAAACATTCAAATAAAAGGTGACATTTGGTACTGTCGCCTCATATGAAACATTGAATCTCAATTCCAAAATGCTGTAGTATAGAGCCAAATCAAAAAAATTTAGCTTCACTGTCCAAATAAATATGGACGGGAGTGTATGCCTAATCCACAAAAGCTGTAAACCTAGGGATAACATGCACAGACTTTATGGAGATAGAGAGAACATCAAACAAGTACCAGGTTGAGCTCTCCCACAGCTTTTTGCAGTGTCAGATTCAAACAATTTGCTATGAGGTCTGCAGCTCACCCAGTGTTTCACTTTATCAGAATACCTTACAAGTTACGTGAGCAACATATGTTCAATTCTCATGTGTTGGCTCACTACCTTGTGAGTGTATATAAAGAAGGGGACTGAGGCTCATAGACCACATTATTTCTGAAGTGGTGTCATTTTAGAATAAGGGATGCTGTAGCTCTGCGGCTGTTGCTCTTCTGTCTCTCTGATGCATGGGCTCAGGAAGAGTGTAGAGGGATCAGAGAGAGTTTGATCGAGAGCCAAGGGACTGAAGCTACAGACATGACCTACAAACAGACGAGCAGCCAGACAACTACAACCCCTGACATCTAGACTGAGCTGAAAGAACTAAGATAAATGGTGGTGGAACAGAGAATAGAGCTGAGGAACATGGAAGCCAGACTGGCAGAGGACCAGGCAGAGGAGCAACAACTTGAGCTTAGGCTGACCAAGAAGGATGTGGAGGAGCTGAAGACAGGAAATGCAGCCCAAGCTGCTGAACTGTCAGCCATGGAGGTCAGAGTGACAGCCAGTGAGAAGGAGATGGAGGAGCAGAAAAAGGAAGTGAGTGTCACTAAGACTGAACTGCAGCTCCAAAAGAACAAGGTGGAGGAACTGGAGAGTGGGAACACAGCCCTGAAAGCCAGAGTGACAGCTAGTGAGAGTGGGAACATAGCCTTGAAAGCCAGAGTGACAGCTAGTGAGAGTGGGAACAGCCTTGAAAGCCAGAGTGACAGCTAGTGAGGGTGGGAACACAGCCTTGAAAGCCAGAGTGACAGCTAGTGAGAGTGGGAACACAGCCTTGAAAGCCAGAGTGACAGTGAGTGAGGGGTAACACAGCCCTGAAAGCCAGAGTGACAGCTAGTGAGAGTGGGAACACAGCCTTGAAAGCCAAAGTGACAGGTAGTGAGAGTGGAAACACAGCCTTGAAACCCAGTGACAGGTAGTGAGAGGGGGAACACAGCCTTGAAAGCCAGAGTGACAGCTAGTGAGAGTGGGAACATAGCCTTGAAAGCCAGAGTGACAGCTAGTGAGAGTGGGAACACAGCCTTGAAACCCAGTGACAGGTAGTGAGAGTGGGAACACAGCCTTGAAAGCCAGAGTGACAGCTCGTGAGAGTGGGAACATAGCCTTGAAAGCCAGAGTGACAGCTAGTGAGAGTGGGAACATAGCCTTGAAAACCAGAGTGACAGCTAGTGAGAGTGGGAACATAGCCTTGAAAGCCAGAGTGACAGCTAGTGAGAGTGGGAACATAGCCTTGAAAACTAGAGTGACAGCTAGTGAGAGCGGGAACATAGCCTTGGAGGTCAGAGTCACAGTCAGTGAGAGGGAGGTGGGGGAGCTAAAGACTGAGAGCGCAGCCAGACCAAAGGTGGCCTTCTCTGCTAGTTGGGCTAATTTAGGACAAGTAGGACTATTCAATACTGAATATTGGTCTACAGTAGAGTCTTCAACACTGGCATGGCCTACAACCCAACTACAGGTATCTTCACAGCACCAGTGAAAGGAGTATACTACTTCAGATGTACAGCCCATGATTACCACACTGTACGTTATATGACTGATTTCCTCCACCACCATAACCAGAAAGCTATGGATAATTCTATATATGTTTATAATGGAAAGGATGCGCATGTGTCTAATGCATTGTCTTCAGAGCTGGAGGAGGGGAGTTTGTGGTCTACATGCGTCTTCCCAAAGGCCATGGAATCCATTGTAATGATTCCCAAACCACATTCAGCGGCTTCCTACTCTTCCCTATGTGAGGGGAGCACCATACTGTACTGCTGCAATGAACTGCTGTAACAAAAAGCTTTCTGATGTGAGCAGTTCTGGGGTTAAGATGTTCCTTTATAATCACTAAAAAGCCATTTAAAAATAACATTATTGGTTGTGTTATTTTTTTGAAGGGTGAATGTCTTCAGAGCATTGAGTCGATTGATTTCCCCTTGTCTTTATTGCAACTTCCATACATTTTTACCACATTCAGTTGGATATAGCCACTGGATACAGACTTAATCATGGTGATTTTGAAGCGGAATGCTTCTGCAGCTGTGATGATGATGTAGGGTCCTTAGGCTCGTGAATGATAGTACTGCGAGTCTTAGGAGACATGAGCCCTATGTCATTGTCCTGTACTGGGGCTACAGCAGATAGACGACACACACACACACACAGACGCACACACACACACACACACACAGACATCAGAAGCTGCTACTTACTGTCTGTAATAGTGAGTCACTCACAGTTTAATCAGGGTGTGCATGGCTGAGCTCCCTGCATGGTAAGCTCAAACAAATAACATTGTTCTTTGTTTACTATAAAACAAATATTACCACTGACAGTTAACACTGAATATGTACTTAGATGACACATTCAATTCAGTCAAAACAATGACTCCAGCTTCAAAACCACACATTTCCGTATTTACCCACTGGCCACAAACTGGTTGAATCAACGTTGTTTCAATGTCATTTGTCAACATATTGTGATGAGGAATGTACGTGGGAAATACATTGGATTTGAAAAAAGTCAACTGTTGTTTTGAGGGTGAAATTCCAACCACAGGATTATGTCATCATGGTAACCAAATTTCAACATAGACAAACCTTGCATAAAATATGGTGAATTTGTAACTTTAAAACAACATCAGATCTTCAACATTATATCCACTATCAGAAAACAAGCAATAGGCTGGGTAGGACCTCCTACTGGAGAATTGATCTATCTACAGCACCCATTTGGTCTCCCATTCAGGATTTTAACCAAGCCCAGCCCTGCTTAGCTATGATAGTTTTCACAGACTATTACCAACATGCTATCTTGAGAGTGATTGTTGTGAGATCCCCACTTAAAACTAAATAGATTCACTGTTCCTATAAAAGTCATTCCAAAGGGTAGGTTTAAGAGTGCAAATGAAATGTAACCATACTTTATCACTCATATATCATCAATGATACTATTTAGGCCGATATAGCATTTGGAAAGTCTGGCTTTATTTCCAGTTCGTCTACAAATAAATAATTAATATGTTGGATTCACATCTCCATCTCAACCAAAAAAGTTAAAGAATAGGACTAAAGGAAAAATAGGACTAAATCAAATCAAACTTTATTTAAAGCGCATTTAAAGTTTAATTTGATTTAGTCCTATTTTTGTCTTAGATTTTTAGTTGAATTGGAGACGTGAATCCAACATAAATTATTCATTTGTAGACGAACTGGAATTAGAGCCAGACTAAGTCAGTGGCTCAGATGGAACTATCCAAGCAGTAGATACACCTCCTTGAAATGTTGATATTTGGTTGTGTTGTCAACCAAACATAGTTTGTATTACAAAAGTAATATTTAATTATCTTACAAACTATTGCAACGTTCAACCTTAAAATGAATAGCACATCCATGGCCATATTTTGAGGTTACTGTAACTATAAATATATTCTTATCATATAAAGCTTGCACCATGTACTTTTAATGTTATCTCAACTGCAATCCAGGTCATTTGGTTCTGCTATTAGATAAAGCACAGTGATAACACATGAATCTGTTGTATAAATAAACAAAATATCTGATGTATTCCCATTTGAACTTTGCTGTGCTTTTAAAAGGTTGAAAGCGTAGTGATAGACATTTGGGTGACAACTAACCCAAAATCAGACATTGTTTTTCCACTGGAATTTGGGTGTGCTTTTAGATGGTTGAAAGCATAGTGAGAACACATTGGAAATGTATCTAACTTTTATCTAAATTCATCTAACTCTAACATATTTTGAGTGGGTGAATATAGGTTGTAATCTCGTTGATCAACGTCTCAACCAAATATTACCCAATTATCCACGTTGAAATGACATAGTGTGCCCAGTGGGTATTCAGTGTGGGGTTATATTTGATATATCTCTTTCTCGTTGTCTTGCTATATATTACAGACTGTCATGGCTTTGCTTTGCAGTGTCCCTGCAGTGCAGTGCCTGCCTGCCTCCCCTCATCTGGGTTCCATTGTGTGGGTGTGCACAGAGCTGGCTCTGAATGGGCCTGACCATTCATCCTCCACACTGAAGCTCATTAGAACTCTATAGAAGCACAATTGTGAGCCCCACATTAGACACTTCCTCGCTGCTGCCACAGACACCACACAAAGTGCCAGTTTGCTGCTAAGCTAAGCGCATTGTCTTCTGATTCATAGAGTCTGGCCCTCCATTCATGATATTAAGTTCGAGTGGTGGAATATCAATTGAGTGTGTAATGGCCCGGTATCTTTTTAAGAGGCCAGGGACAGAAAGGAGCTCGGCTGGTCTGCACAGTGCTGGATCTCAACAGGACCATTGTGGAGCTCTGAATGGGGGACCCCACTTTTTCCCTCCAATAGAAAGTGGAATGGACATCAAATAAATTCACATGAACTTGCTTTCAGGGTATTTTCAAGAACTGCGTTCCCAATGGCTCAATTGTACCTCCCTTCCTTGGAATGCTACCTACGGAATCTGGCCCATTAACAAGTTGCGAATCTAAACAATGCTTTTCATACCAAATATCAAGTCTTACAAGATTACAATCCATGTACAATCCTTTTGTTTATAAGCGTAGTCAATATCATCAAGGAAATAACTCTCTTTGGTACAGAGCTGAAACAGAATAACTCAAAGAAGCAGACACGTTACATCACCAGTTTCTCAAATGACACCTCGCTTACACAAACAACATTGCACTCATCTTGCAGCCATGACCCTAAGAGCTGCAGTGTACTTTATGAATGTAATACTTTGAATTTGCAGTATCTATTTATGTGGAGATGAATAGTCTTACACTGCTGCCTGTGGCTCAGCCTGCGCTTCACTGTGTCATGAACAAATGGCTCCCTTCCGCACCAGACACCAGTATCACAAACAGCGGCCCATGTGGAGCATGTAAACCCGCATTAGGTACACACAGAGCTAGATAGCACAGCCTGAGCCCACTAACACCCCTCACACGAGACACCACAGTCGCTTTCTCCACCAGTCTGGGGAATATAAAACCTCAAATTTGATTACAAGCAACCTTTGGCTCCCTGGTGGCCAGACAATGGGCCCGGCTGTCTGGAGCAATTTCCATGCCCAGCATGAGGTGTCCCCCGAACCGTGCACCCCCTCGCCTCGCCCGGACATGCTTGTTTACTGTTCCCCAATTTTGTTTCATTTCAGTCGGCCTCCTTTTCCCCAGCTCCTCTATTATAAGGCTGAGGATCATTAGCAGGAGCAGTCAGTTCAGGGTTACATGGTTACACATGACGCCAGCCACCCATTGGCTAATATATACCACACACAACCTCACTGTGTTTGTGTGTCTGTAGGCTTCAACTGTGCCTCTGAAATTCAATGAATCTATAACAACAGGCCTGGGTTTGAGTCCCAATTCGGCTACCCCTGAATTCGCTGCAATATTATATACAGTGATATACTGCAACTGCTTGTCTAATTCTTCTCACATAACCACTTCATTTGATCTTTGATATTTCAACTCCACAGTACAGAAGGAGTAGAGTCTATAGTTTTGATTACTTACAAAGTGTCTCCCTTTCGTCCACATCAGAACCTGGCGTTAACTGCTGTAGATCCTTCACATAGCGGCTTTTTGCATATTTCTGTCAAGCTGGACGGTAAATCTTTTTAAAACAGACAGAATCTGGCAACCGGAGGCAGAGCAATTTTCTATGTCAAGCAGGAACCAATAGCCCTGTCATGTCTTTGAGTGACAAGCCATAGTGGAGTAGTCCAAATAGACACTGAAAAGAGGAGGAAAGTGGCTGGAGAATAGCACTTAGGCCATTACAGAGGCAATCTGAAATATGTTTTAATTGGTTTGAGTTCATGGAGTCAGAAATTGAACATGAATGGCCTGATGAATCTGGCATTCATATTATGTATCTGGTGCTCAATTAAAGTTAAGTGGAATTGCGAAAATAAAATAAAAATGACCAGAAAACAAGGAGATATTTTTCATTTAAATGTCATGGATATTTAAATTATATGTCACACTTGCACAGTATTACACCATCAGAATAATTATACAATGATTTACTTTTGAAAAATTAAGTAATTAGAACGCAATGTGCAGAATCACATTCTATGTGGGAATTAGCTTTTTTTCTAGTTGGTCATCGTGCAACAAAATTAACACAAACGGTGACCTAGATCAAACCAAACCAAATAATATTATTATGCACTGTGTGAACGAAGCCACAAACTATTTAATTGCCACCGTGCCTTTCTTTGGGACACAATGGGTGCTCTGAAGGTGGCTGCAGAAAATAGAAAACTATTTACTGCAGGTCTGAGAAATACATTTGGTGCACGTTAAACTTTGGCCAGCAGTCCATTGTCTCGGGTGTCTATCATTTAATAGGCAAGTTGACATAATGAATGGAGTCGGACACACCTTCTGCCACTCCAGAACGGACCCAGTCTTATCTGAATTGAGAATCACATTAGAGCCTCTTAGCCAATCACGCGGCAGCCCCGGAGCAAAGTGCAGACCCTGGAGAAGAGAAGGAGAGAAGAGAAGAAGAGAGTTAGAGAGAGCTTTTGTTTTCCTGGGACTTTAATGAAGTTGGCCCTGGTCAGTCTTGGAGGGATTATAGCTCAGACTGGTGTCACTTGTGTTACTTGGCCCTGTGACTGCTGAGACTGCTGTGAGGTGAGTGAGGGAGCGTTCCTTAGGGCCACAGTGAAGGGGATGACCACAGGGCAGAAGGAGAGCAGGAAGAAGAGCATGGATATGGCAGCAGGATTACCTACTCACCCAGGCTTTGGGAGATCAGGGAAGAGCTTCCTCATGGACAATCTGCTGCGCTCGGCGGGGCCATCCTCTTCCTCATCCTCGCCCAACTCAGATGGACCAACGGGTGGGATCTTCATGGGTCCCCCGACCGGCCACCACATGAGAACCTGGGGCCCTCAGCATGTTGTCTACGAGGGCCAGAGTCAAAACTGTAAACGAGTCAAAGACATGGGGCTTCCTCCTCGGCCACACTCAGGTAAAAGCCTTATATGATACAAAACATCATGATGAGATCTAGCCTGTAGACATTTGAAACCACACTTCGGGAAAATGCATGTTTTTGATTTTGTTTAGTGTATACATTTTGAATATATCTTGTCTAATGACAATTGATGTTCTTCCGATTTGACCAAACCAGTTATTTTGACTCTGTACTATCCCTCATTTCAAAGTACGTATAAGCAACATGATTTGAAACATTCAGAATCAATCAAGTTTAGCTTATTTCCAGAAATAACACAAAACCTTTTGTATAGATTTATCATTAAAAAGCCACTGTAAGGAAATGCAAACACCACAATATCTTACTTTATTTTCCTTTTATGTGTTCAGTTCAGATATACTATGTATGTTTCTGATAATAATATCAGATAAACATTTGATATGCTATACTGGCTTTTTCTTAATTTGCTTTATTTTTAGTAAAGTAAATACAATTCTAAAACATTAGAAATTGTATTAATCAAAGAGTTTACTGAAGAATGCTTATGTTTAAGACCTATTCTAAAAGATAAGACATAACATAGTACTACACATGTAAAACATGGCATTAATGACAGTCAAAGCAGAATATTAAAGCAGCAATCAGCAGTTGAAACAATAGCAAAGCATTTTTCCCGCCCCTGTTTCGGTAAATAGCTGAGGGATAGGGCTGGAGAAATGTAACCACTCTCAAATTCCTAGACAGAGCTATGGATACAAGGACTGACCATCAATGCTATCAAATTATAGTTTTAACCATGTTTTGAGGCTATATAGTGCTTTGTTTACAAACATTTGAGTAAAACAAGCTTATATTTTGGGTTCTGATGGGGTATGACAGTTGAACTAAGCTCATGAGCCGTATATAATATTCTTAAAGAATCAATGGGTACATATCATTAATTTATATGTCCAAAAATGGATGTAGCAACTACAGATTGCCCCTTTAATGACATACTGTATAACCAAATGCTGTTATGTTCTACCACATTGCATTTCACTACAGCCAAATTGTATATATATTTTTTTATATACATTTAATTTGCAGACAATAACCATTTGGCTACTCAAAACATGATGTTTGTTATTGTTTTTCTTCTGAGTGGATGGTTTAGCAGAAATATATATATATTTCCACCACAATTTATTCATGGTTTTCACCTGCCAGTATTTATTATTAATGTACAGTATAATTTAATGAAAGTCCCTCCCTCCCTCCCTCCTTCCTCTCTGCAGGCCTGTTGAGCAGTGTGTTTCTACGGGGCCCTCAGTATCTGCTGGCAGCAGTGTGCTGTGGTGGGTCCAGCCCTCCGTCTATCTTCTCCGGTGAGTGTTTTATGCTTCATCAGCGAAGCCTCAGCTCCTCTCTAAGCATTAGCAGCAGGGTCTCCCATACTCTCTACAGCTAATTACTGATGCAATGCCAGGAAACTAATTCTCCACTCAACTCTCTGCACTGCTATTCATGACCATTCACAGCTCTTTAGACCCAGGGGGTAGGGTGGGGAGTAGGATATGGAGTAGGGGGGGGGGGGGGGGGGGGGGGCTTTTATGGCCGTTGAGGCCCCCATTTGCACTCATATAGATACACACACCGACTCACTCCAATATGCAGAGCTAATAAACATTTTGTCTCTGTGAGATTAGAACTGTAATGATCAGTGGTATGCCACTGTAACAGTCTCTTACTGGTCTCTGTGTGACATTTTTATTGCCTCTCAGTGGCATTGAGCTCAGCCTCAGCACAATGGAACATTTGGCTGATAGTTGGTCCAACTGTGATAATTGGTCCAGTGTGAGTAAACTGTTTATGATCCTGCCAAAGGAAGGGATTGTTTGTGTTTATAATGAGGCTCTTAAGATGATTTCCTGTAGCTGATTATCTGAAAAATCTACATCAAACCAGAATCTATATTCCCTGGAATATGGATCTGAATTGTGTTATGTAATTGCATTTGTTGTGAAGTCTGTATTAACCTTTTCATAGGAGAAGTCTCATTATGTGAACAACATCAATTTCTCCTAACTTCTGTCAGGGTTGTGATGCTAGTTTCTAAGTCCTGTGACTCCTGACAAGTGAGGAAGCGAATAGCATCCCTCAGTAAATACCCCCTGGTCCCTCTTAGTGGGCTAACACTTTCCCACAGTGCCCAGCAACAGGACAATGCTATGCCCGGCCATGACAAATCGGCACTTTCGCTCCACCATCCACACGCGACCCCGCTGCAATTTTTCACCGCAGCAATGAATTCTGCGAAGCACAAAACACAGAAAACACAGCCATTCCTCTGCAGAAAGGGGGCTTTGCCCGGGAACAGCCCACTAACCCTTTGTGTGGCCAAAGAACCCAGTTTCCCGACTCCCTCCTTTCTCCTGTCACCTCACTCTCATTCCTGCCCATTTAAAGTTCCCTTAATGGAACATAAGAACTCAATGAAAGTGACTTTTATAGACTTATTCGAGCTCATCTTCCCATAGAACCGGGCCCATACCTGCAAGAGAAAAGAATTAGTGAGGAGCGCTGAGCCAGCAAGAGTAGTGGCCTTTCAACGAACAGTCTCTTTTGTGGTGGGTCCCTCAGGGTTGTGAGCTCAGACCAAGGGGGCAGACACACACGTAGCCCCCGGGAGTGACCTGTTAATCGTCCGTTTAAGTGGAAGCCATTGAGGCCCAATGGAGGCCTGAGGAGCGTGTCTAAACCGGTTACTCGCTCCCCCGAGGTGGTCTGTGTGCAGATTTGTCGGACAGATTAAAAAGGCATTGCTCAATGGGATTTGGTAAATTGTTCCACTTGACTTTTGTTGTGTGTGCACCTGTGAGTGAGGCAGCGTGGGATTGCTCCTCAGAGTTCACCAAATCCCTTTCTCCCCGGTGAAAACGGGTCTCCATTCTCACTTTAGTCACCCCCATTTTGTTAAATTAGACAGATTGACGCAAGTGGAGAGTAAGCGTGTATAAGATTGGCTACAGGAGATGGGCACAATCCATGTAGATAGTGAGTGAGGAAGTGAGCCATTTAGTAGAGTCTGCCTTTTATAATCAGTATGAGGATATATTCAGTGCTTTGGACTGGACTGGACATGATAAACCAGAATAATGCTGCATTTGAATAACAATCGGAGCAGATAATTTGCCCATTTATTATTTGGATGATTTTCTATTTCGTTCCACTTGATATGGAAATATAATACATTTCTTTTGCGTATTCAAATGTGTAATTGTTATTGACCTTATTTAAGTAAGACTATTTCTATATTCAAATATTGGTACTTGTCTCTAGTAGTGCAATGTGCCATTGCCTTCACGCAACAGAGAACATACGTCAATGCAAATGAGTTAACTCATCCATAACCCAATGACATTTCCCTTTCAGGTTATTATTAGATATAATACAAACATTAATATGAATGATTCTAACCTCTGACCTTCCAGAGGGAGCCAACATTCCGATGTGGTCCCCGGATACGAGCCCCAAATCCCGGCGAGGGATCCTGAGGAGGGCGGTGTTCTCTGAGGAACAGAGGAAGGAGCTGGAGAAAACGTTCAAGAGACAGAAGTACATCAGCAAGACAGACAGGAACAAACTGGCAGCAGATCTCAGCCTGAAGGAGTCTCAGGTAGGAAACCATATATCTCCTATATAGGTCGGAGGTCACCATAACAACCTCATTTTACATCCCATGCTACATCATAGGCCTTCTCATCTCACCTCTTCATTGCATACAAACACATCTTACTGGGTCTTATTTGGGTGCCCCAGCCTAAATTGAGTAAATATCTAGAGTCACTTCTATTGTAAGAGATCATGCTCTCTGCTGTATCACAGACTTAGATTTGACTAAACAAAATGAATGGCACCTCAGTATGAACCTCTCACTGACTTGTGTGTCTACTGTAGGTGAAGATCTGGTTCCAGAACCGGAGGATGAAGTGGAGGAACTGTAAGGAGAAGGAGGCCCACAGCGGCCGCTCCCCCATGGAGGAGCTCATGTCCCGTGGCTACAAACAGGAAGAGGAACGCAAGGAGGCACCAGAGAGCACGGGCACGCCATTAGACAGATCATCATCACAGCAGCGGGACAGGGAAACGGGAGTTACCATAGAGAAAGAGCCATGCAAGACTTTGATACAGCCACTGAGTCTGCACACACTATGACCTCTGACCCCTGAGAGGATTAAAGACTGAGAGAAACCTCTGGGCAAAAACTGGTTGAATCAACGTTGTTTCCACATCATTTCAACAAAAAAATTATACATGACTTTGAATCAACGTGGAAAACCGATTGGATTGGAAAAAAGTCATCAACATAAGGGAATTTTGTATTTTTTTCACCCAACATTTAACCTAAATCCAATGGCATGGTGAAATTTTTTGTTGATTTCACATTGAATTCATGTTAGTTGACAACTCAACCAAATGTAAACCAAAACTAGACGTTGAAATGATGTCTGTGCCCAGTGGGAAGATGAGGGTCAGTGTTGTGAGGCATGATTGAAAAGGGACTGTCTGAGCATTGGATAAAACGACTAACACTCCATAACAATAAAATACTTTTCATTTTAGTATTGTGTGGGTTGCTATTGTGTAGCAACATTTTGGAGACTGACTAAAAGTGTTTTTGAATGTGTTTTCGGAAAGCGTTTTTGAATAATCAATACAAATCTCAAAAACAAAACTTTTATTAGACCATACGCTGTATATTAACACACATTGAAGGTTAGTCAGCTACACACAACCATGTATAAATGCTTTAACATGTAATATTGTATTCAGAATGTTTGTTTTACTCTTAACTGAAACAATTGCTGTAAATAAAATGATTAATTAAATGCTGATTTCTTCATTCCATGTTAATATTCAAGACGTTGAGCATGCAAACTTAATAAGTTAGTCTTTAATATTTACAAAAATACAGTTAATAACTAAAGATAGTGCTTTCAACCAAGGACCTCAGGAAAAATATCAAATAAATGGCAGATATTAAAAATATAAAATGAAAAATAAATAACAGTGTGCAAATCAAACATAGCGAATGTCAGATGTTATGCTGGAACTGTGCAACCAAAGCGGATGTCAGATTGCGGTGTGGACAGCTGGACACACCTCAACAGCCCTGCTCAGGGAGGATGGTACACTTAAGGATGTGGAGGTAGCTCTGGACCTTGTTGGTGTCTCGTCTTTTTTTTTTTTTTTTTTTTTTTCCACCTTTATTTAACCAGGTAAACCAGTTGAGAACAAGTTCTCATTTACAACTGCGACCTGGCCAAGATAAAGCAAAGTAGTGCGATAAAAACAACAACACAGAGTTACATATGGGGTAAACAAAACATAAAGGCGGCAGGTAGCTTATTGGTTAAGAGCGTTGTGCCAGTAACCGAAAGGTCGCTGGTTCTAATCCCCGAGCCGACTAGGTGAAAAATCTGTCAATGTGCCCTTGAGCAAGGCACTTAACCCTAATTGCTAATGTTAGTCGCTCTGGATAAGACCGTCTGCTAAATGACTAAAATGTAAAATAAACACGAAACAATTTTGTATCAACACTGGAATGATAGATGTGCAAAAGATGCTGTACAAATAGAGATACTGGGGTGCAAATTAGCAAAATAAATAACAATATGAGGTAGTTGGGTGGGCTAATTTCAGAAAGGCTGTGTACAAGTGCAGTGATCGGTAAGCTGCTCTGACAACTGACGCTTAAAGTTAGTGAGGGAGATAAGAGTCTCCAGCTTCAGAGTTTTTTGCAGTTCGTTCCAGTCATTGGCAGCAGAGAACTGGAAGGAATGGCGGCCAAAGGAGGTGTTGGCTTTGGGGATGACCAGTGAGATATACCTGCTGGAGCGCAGACTACGGGTGGGTGTTGCTATGGTGACCAATGAGCTAAGATAAGACGGGGATTTGCCTAGCAGTGATTTATAGATGACCTGGAGCCAGTGGGTTTGGCAACGAATATGTAGTAAGGGCCAGCCAACAAGAGCGTACAGGTCACAATGGTGGGTAGTATATGGGGCTTTGGTGACAAAATGGATGGCACTGTGATAGACTACATCCAATTTGCTGAGTAGAGTGTTGGAGGCTATTTTGTAAATGACATCGCCGAAGTCAAGGATCGGTAGGATAGTCCGTTTTACGAGGGCATGTTTGGCAGCATGAGTGAAGGAGGCTTTGTTGTGAAATAGGAAGCTGATTCTAGATCTAACTTTTGATTGGAGATGCTTAATGTGAGTCTGGAAGGAGCGTTTACAGTCTAACCAGACACCTAGGTATTTGTAGTTGTCCACATACTCTAGGTCAGACCCGCCGAGAGTAGTGATTCTAGTCGGGTGGGCGGGTGCAAGCAGCGTTCGGGTTGAAGAGCATGCATTTAGTTTTACTAGTGTTTAAGAGCAGTTGGAGGCTACGGAAGGAGTGTTATATGGCGTTGAAGCTCGTTTGGAGGTTTGTTAACATAGTGTCCAATGAAGGGCCAGATGTATACAAAATGGTGTCGTCCGCATAGAGGTGGATCCGAGCGTCACCAGCAGCAAGCGCGACATCATTGATATACACAGAGAATAGAGTCGGCCCGAGAATTGAACCCTGTGGTACCCCCATAGAGACGGCCAGAGGTCCAGACAACAGGCCCTCCGATTTGACACATTGAACTCTATCTGAGAAGTAGTTGGTGAACCAGGCAGTCATTAGAACCAGGCAGTCATTAGAGAAACCAAGGCTATTTAGTCTGCCAATAAGAATGCGGTGGTTGACAGAGTCGAAAGCCTTGGCCAGGTCGATGAAGACGGCTGCGCAGTACTGTCTTTTATCGATCGCGTTTATAATATCGTTTAGGACCGTCTTTATAATATCGTCTGAAGCAGTAGAGGAGGTAATGGTGGTCCATGGGGTCTCTCTCCAAGGGGGAGGAGGAGGGGGGAGGAGCCAGGGCTTCAGAGGAGGACAGGTCACTCAGAGAGTTACTGATCACTCCCAGCAATTGCATCTGAGGCAGATAAACACACAGAGACCGTGTCAGTGGGATACAAATCACTCTAGTCAACAGGCTGCAGAGATGGAAGTATGCACATAGTAGTCACACTCTTTTGCACACACACACACACACACACACACAGTGTCTGATTCTTACCTTCTCAGTCACTCTCTCCACTCCGTTCTGTAGTTCCTGCAGTATGTCGCTCATCTCCAGAGCCTTGTTGGAGCTGAGAGCTGAGCCTGAGCTTGGCCCTGAGCCATGCTGTGGTGGAGCTGGGACAGGGGGTCTCCCCAAGCCCCCAGAAGCTTCAGGATTACCTCTGTCAGCTCCTCTCTCTGGCAGGGAGGGGAGGAGGGGTGAGTCCAAATCAGATACAGACGATTACTTTTATGGATATTTATTAAACTTTTATCTGTCCAGGTGAGTCAATTTTACTCACTTATACCAGTGGAATCAATTATGCTCAACTTTACTCTACAGTACTATACAGGGCAGGCAGTCACTGTATTAACATGATACAGAAGGGTGCAGATATGAACATGCAGAAGAGACATGCAGAAAGAGTTTAAACACATGCAAACACAGCAACATTTAGATAGGACTGTAAAGTGCTAGGCTCACTGCTAGTCTCTGTGCATTCTCCTTGTCATCCGGTGTAAGTTTGTGAAAGGTGTGGCACTTCCGTTTTCCAATGTGGTTTTTCATGGGGAGGAAATATTGCTCCTTTGGAAGAGACGTCAAATAAGAGATAAGGAGGATCAAAATGAGGAACAGGATTAATAATAATAATGAATAATAATAATGAATAATGAATAAGTAATGATGTAATCTCTAAGTTGAAAGAGTGAGGGAGAGGGAGTAAGTGAAAGAGTGCAAGGAGAACAGAGGAGAGAATAATAGAGGAGAGACTCACAAACTCTGAGTGCCGATCACTGGAGATACCATGCATTCTGGCAGACTGCTGAATGAACCTGTAGAAGAGGTCTGCCAGGGGTATGGCACCCTGCCTGTCCATGGGCACAGATGGGGGCACAGCCAGCCTTATAGTCAACATATACCAGGGCAAGGGAAACAACCCACACTGACCAATGTAAGAGAAAGCAACAGCAAGAGGAAAAAGTCAGTTGGAGATACCCAAATCATAAGCAAATGTAAGCTGGAAATCCAAGTTAAAACTACATCCAGCTCTTACTGTGCTTCATGGCCCGTTCCGATGGGTTGCCAATCCTGTTGATGGGTTGACGGTTGTTGTGGTTGGTCAGCAGTGGTCTGTCACTGACTGTCCAGGCATCTGTCTGGACTACATGACTGGACTCTATGACTATGATTGTATGATGACGTCATTGTTCATAGAACATGAGGAGGGGGTAATAAAGCCATGCTTTTGTCTCTGTTTGTCATATCCGCTCCTCACACCCTGGAGCGGACAGAGGGAAACCAGGCGGAATGGCATCGCATAAGAAGAGAGAGAGAGAGAGAGAGAGAGAGAGAGAGAGAGAGAGAGAGAGAGAGTGAGAAGAGAGCGAGAAGAGGAGAGAGAGAGAAGAGGAGAGAGAGAGAGACAGACAGACAGAGAGAGAGACAGACAGAGAGAGAGAGACAGACAGAGAGAGACAGACAGAGACAGAGAGACAGAGAGACAGAGAGAGAGAGAATCAAAAAGAGCACAATGGCAGAGATGAATTAATGTATGGCAATGGAGCCCCAAAATAAAGTTTTACTGGCCCTCCACAGTCTGGTATGACCTGGTATGACCTGCATAAGAACTCTAAAAGAACTCACATTGCACACAATCCCTCCAAATCCTTAATGAACACCGTCCATTGTTTGGGAACAAAACACTCCATCACTAATACCAATGTGACCTTATATGACATCATATTATCTTATTGGTGGTGGTACAGTGGTGATACAGATTCAGTGCTTAATTTGTAAATTGGGAGGTACCAGAACAAAAAGTGTGCCCTAGAAGGGGGTGACCTGGGGGGCTCTGAGGTACCGAAACGCATGAAGAAAAATCACCTTTATTATAAAGCATTGCATGCATTATCATCGCTTTTGCATACTGGTATAGAGCAGTAGAGTAGAGGCACTTGCAGAAAATAATTGGCCTAGGTTTTTGAAAAAAAATCTGCCCTTTTATAAACGCATTTCTTGCAATTCTACACCATTTTAGATGACTGGAGACTTCAGCATAATATTTTTTAATACCTCACAAATGTTCAAAATGACAGGCTACTTTGACACTGACAAAGAGAGAACCTGTGGTCAATAAAAATGATCCATCAATAGCCTAGGCCTAGGTGTGTGGATACACACATACTGTACAATATGAGGAGGAAATTATAGTCCTAAAAAAGCTTTCTAGTTTCACTGACTCACCCAATGATGTGCAGCTCACTCATTGGCTATGGCCGGTGCACTCGTGCCAAATGCTTATCTTTACTGAATACAAATATAAACGCAACATGTAAAGTGTTGGTACCAAGTTTCGTGAGCTGAAAAAAAATATTTCAGAAATGTTCCATATGCACAAAAAGCTTATTTCTCTCAAATTGTGTGCACACATTTGTTTACATCCCTGTTAGTGAGCATTTCTCCTTTGCCAAGATAATCCATCCACCTGACAGGTGTGGCATATCAAGAAGCTGATTAAACAGCATGATCATTACACAGGTGCACCTTGTTTTGGAAACAATAAAATGCCACTCTAAAATGTGCAGTATTGTCACACAACACAATGCCACTGATGTCTCAAGTTTTGAGGGAGCGTGCAATTGGCATGTTGACTGCAGGAATGTCCACCAGAGCTGTTGCCAGAGAATTGAATGTTTATTTCTCTACCATAAGCCACCTCCAACGTTGTTTTAGAGAATTTGGCAGTACGTCCAACTGGCCTCACAACCGCAGACCTCATGTAACCACGTCAGCCCAAGACCTCCATATCCGGCTTCTTCACCTGTGGGATCGTCTGAGACCAGCACTCGGACAGCTGATGAAACTGAGAACTATTTCTGTCTGTAATAAAGGCCTTTTGTGGGTAAAAACTATTTCTGATTGGCTGGGCCTGGTTCCCAGTGGGTGGGCCTGGTTCCCAAGTGGGTGGGCCCACCCGGGTGGGGGTGGGGGGGGTGGGCCAACCCATGGCTACGCCCATGCCCAGTCATGTGATTAGGGTCTAATGATTTGATTTCAATTGACTGATTTCCTTATATGAACTGTAATTCAGTAAAATCTTTGAAATTGTTGCATGTTGCATTTATATTTTTGTTCAGTATAGTTCTTATTTTACTTTGTAAAACAATTCTGCTCACTCAATAGGCCTATTTGGAAGTTGAACTTTGCAGCCTAGTGACAGATTAGTCTTCTCTTTTCAGCAGGATCCATTTGCTTTCAAACCTGCGTTTTCCCTCGATTGTACTTGAAATATTGCAAAAGGCCTGTTTTGGCTGCTTGCTGTTCACTGACAGATTTGCCACACATTCCTGACTGTAGGCCTGCCTTGTGATTGGGCTACACACAATCCTCAGCTAGACCATTAAAAAAAATAAGCTATAGCTTGAACCTATGTGGTTAAATTATAGGCTTACTCCTGGTGTAGCATTTTGAATTATGTAATTTATTTCTGAACAGACAGCAGTAATTCTATAACTTTGCAAATGTATTTCAATTTACCAGGGGTGCTGCAGCACCTCCAGCACACTATGATTCTATAAGGAAGTCATTGATTAAGTGCAACACTGGAGAGATAAGAGTTGCAGGCTCATGTCTATCAGAGAATAGAGAGGGAGAGAGATCATAGAAAGTGGATCTCATTTTAGTTCTGTGGTAGATACAGGCGCGCTTCTCTCTCTCGCCACAGCAATGGCCACGCGTTGGTCTATATAGGCTACAATGTTGCGCAAACCATAAACCCGTGCTGGCCCAACATTAGAATATCTGGCATGTTTTCACATTACGTTTTATATTAGCAGGTGAATTACAGAGGAGTCGACTTGAATTAACTTTGATTGCTTTTATTTGAATTTTTACATTGCAAACTGTGAAAATATTTGTTTCATGCCACGAGAGGTACCGGATCCTGTCAAATGGGTTCCGGAACGAAACAATCCACAACTGAGAGGTACGGATCCTGTTCCGGCAGAATCCAGCTCAAATTAAGCCCATCATTCTAATGACTCATGGTATTTTTATAGCTCCACTTGGCATAAGCCTACCACTGGGTGCAGACAGGATGGACCCATGTCCATACGCTATGCAAAACAATGTGACAATCATAAACAATTCCCTTGCACTTAATTCAACCTAGAGTCAAAATAGATCCCCAACGTCTTTGCCCCTCGCTCACACTGCCATCTCGTGGTAGCAGCTTCCCCATGAGAAATTGGGGAGCTAACATGATCCCCACTCATGGACTCAAACATTCATGCCTGAATGCGTTGTTTCTGTTTCTTATTTATTCGACTGTCTGTCTGTGTCCATACGGACAAATTATAGATTTACATATTTTAATAACATGTAAATTACATATATCTAAATATATGTTTACGCCTTATATGTATAGATATTTAAATATATGGACATGGCCGTTTTCATATATTTCTACATATACGTTTATATATTTAAATATATGGTGTGGAAATACATTTTGACAGCATGCTGTGGTAGTTAGTAAAATATATTCCAAAATATATGTCATTAATATCCTACTGGGCACAGAAGGCAATTCAATGTTTTTATGAATGGAAAATTAAGCTTTTCACTTTACATACATCTCAGAATATACAGTATTAATGTTCTAGACATGTTTCATGGGACGTTGCAAGAACATTTGTGTCCAGTTTTCTGAAGATTAGGAGAATATTCCATCAACATCACATCAAACATACACAAAACATGTTTACCATGTTCTCAGAATATACAATATTAATGTTCTAGACACGTTTCATGGGACGTTGCAAGAACATTCATGTGTCCAGTTTTCTGAGGATTAGGAGAATATTCCATCAATGTCCCACCAAACATACACAGAACATGGTTGCCAATCCCAAACCACTGTCCCAATAAGGGATATCTCTAGGGCATGTGCTTATTGGGCCAGTATAGGAAGGCCATGCCCAGAAGAAACCCTAACCCCTTCTCCATAGGCACTTGTGTAGATCGGAAACAACTTGATAGGTGCAAGCAATAGGGTGAATGCACTTTGAAGTAAACTATATGTACAAAAGTATGTGGACACCCCTTCAAATTAGTGGATTCGGCTATTTCAGCCACACCGTTGCTGACAGGTGTATAAAATTGAGCACACAGCCATGCACTCTCCATAGACAAACATTGACAGAATAATGGCCTTACTGAAG